CAGTGTACCATGTGGACCTGTACCATGTGGACTTGTACCATGTAGACCTGTACCATGTAGACCTGTACCATGTAGACCTGTGCCATGTAGACCTGTGCCATGTAGACCTGTGCCATGGAGACCTGTACCATGTAGGCCTGTACCATGTAAACCTGCACCATGTGGGGTTCCCCAGGGGTCAGTACTAGGCCCACTCTTGTTCATAATCTCCATAAACGATCTAGATACTGGGATCAGCAGTGACATAAGCAAGTTTGCGGATGACACCAAAATAGGGCGGCAGATTAATTCAGGGCAGGATGCAAATGCATTACAGGAGGATCTAAATAAACTGCATGGGCGGTCTGAAAAATGGCAAATGAAATTCAACACCAGCAAGTGCAGCGTACTTAATATTGGAAGAACAAATACTGTCAATGTATACAGCCTTAACAACATCAACCTTGAGAAGTCGACTTGTGAAAGAGACCTAGGGGTACTTGTAAGCCCGGACCTACGGCCTAGAAAACAGTGCGTTAATGTTCGAAATAAGGCAAACAGAGTATTGGGATTTATATCTAGAAGTGTAAGTAATAAGAGTGCAGAGGTCTTATTGCAACTATATCTTGCGCTAGTCAGGCCGCACCTCGATTATGCGGTTCAGTTCTGGTGCCCTTATTATAGAATGGATATCAATTCACTAGAGTCGGTGCAGCGAAGAAAGACGAAAATGATTCCGGGACTTAAAAACCTTACATATCAAGATAGGTTAAAGAAACTAAACTTGCATTCCCTAGAAAGACGAAGAGTGCGGGGAGGTATGATAAAAGTATTTAAGTGGGTGAAAGGAATCAATCAAGGGGATATAGATAAAGTTCTTATAATATCCGAGCAGGATAGGATTCGGAGCAACGGATTTAAGTTGGATAAGTTTAGGTTTAGGAGGGAGATAGGAAGGAACTGGCTCACACATAGGGTGGTGGACGAGTGGAACAAGTTTAGCAACTTTGTAGTAAGTGCTGGAACGCTGGAAAGTTTCAAAAGGAGGCTGGATAGATTCATGGATGATAGAGAGTGGTAGTAACTCTCGACAGGAGCAGCCAAGCACAGGCCATCCGGCCTATTGCTGACTCCTTATTTTCTTATGTTCTTATGTTGACCTGTACCACGTGGCCTGTACCATGTAAACCTGTACCATGTAGACCTGTACCATGTAGACCTGTACCATGTGGACCTGTACCATGTAGAGCGGTACCATATGGACCTGTACCATGGGGCTTGTACTACGGGGTCTGCCTCACCTGGCTGGCCCGCTTAAGTAACACAAGCCCGACACCTGCCTCCCCCCCCTTCTACCGCATAATAACGAGATAGTCAGCCACCAGCACCACCCTCCCTCTAACCTAACCTGATCCTAACCTAACCTGATCCTAACCTAACCTGATCCTAACCTAACCTGATCCTAACCTAACCTAACCTGATCCTAAATCATAACTCTGAGAATTGGTATGAAAATGGCGTCAAAACTGCTTCTGAGACTATCGAGTAAGTGGATAGATTCTCTTACTACCAGTTAGTGGAATGAGAGATGAAGATGTGTGTGTGTGTGTGTCAAGGAGTACACACGAACGTTATGGTGTGGTGACGAGAAGCTCTCTTGTTACTACCACGTACCACCTGATACTGATATACTACAGTGTGTGTACTATATAACACACACACACACACACACACACACACACACACACACACACACACACACACCTAGGTCTTCCCGACTCTTTCCTAGACGAGACAGAGGCAGCGGAATGGTAACTAGAGAGAGGCATTAACGAGACGGGCAGTAACCACGCACGAAGTTCCTCAGTGGAGTAGAAGCAGTGAAGGGTATAAATAGTGATCATATATATATATACAGCTTAAGTTAGAAAGTATGAAGTAACATGAATTAAATTTCCACCTGAGTGACGGGAGTCGGCCGAACAGTGGGGGAGAAATCTTGAGTGGTGAACGAATCATCTGTGTTGGCTTGAGTGTTAGGTTAGGTTAGGTTAGGTTAGGTTAGGTTAGATAAGGTTAGGTTAGATTAGGTTAGGTTAAATTAGGTTAGGTTAGATTAGGTTAAATTAGGTTAGGTTAGGTTAGATTAGATTAGATTAGGTTAGGTTAGGTTAAATTAGGTTAGGTTAGATTAGGTTAGGTTAAATTAGATTAGGTTAGATTAGGCTAGATTAGGTTAGGTTAGGTTAAATTAGGTTATGTTAGGTTAGTTTAGGTTAGGTTAAATTAGGTTATGTTAGGTTAGGTTAGGTTATGTTAGTTTAGGTTAGGTTAGGTTAGGTTAGGTTAGGTATCAGGGCTGGGGGAGAACACGTCAACAATGTAGTAAATGGTGTAGTTGGGTGCTAGTTTGTGTTGTAACAGCTACACTCTTCTCGTGTTTTCACTTGGCGGCCATAATTAGATTGACTTCTGTGAGGAGGTTCGACTGCTGACCGGAATTCCAACAACAGTATTTTCTTTAAACTAAATTTGTCTCTCCAATTAACAACAAAAACGGACAATTTCGGTACCAATCCATTACACTGCTGCTGTTAATGTCTGGGATATAGGACGAAGAGGGAGGGGAAGGAGGAAGGGAGAAGGAAGGGAGAGGGGAAAGAAGAGGTAAGTGGAAAAGGAAGGGAGCAGATAAGAGGAGGAGGGGAGAAGAAGGAAATCGGAGGAGGAGGGGAGGGGGAAGAGGAGGGAAGGGTAGTGGAGAAGATAAGAGGAGAAGGGGAGAAGGAAAGTGGAGAAGCGCTTATGGAGTTGTAACATGAAACAAGGGTCATGTGGTTGGCTCCCTCACCCACCCGCCTTACACCCACTACACACCCTCACTCACCCCCACCCCACACCCACTACACACCCTCACTCACCCCCACCCCACACCCACTACACACTCGGTAATCCTTTTTGTGCTACCATTCACAGGATGTGTATGGAGTGCACAATAAACTAGCCGCTGTATTTCCCGCACCACTGTCATCACCCAACATTAAAACCTTTGACACACAATAATAATAATAATAATAATAATAATAATAATAATAATAATAATAATAATAAACATACCATAAATACTCGTAATAATAGGACCGAGAAGGCAACAAATTATTTACTATCATCTCATATATTTACAACATTTCAGAAGTGAGATTGTACGGTAAATAACTGCGACTCATTTTAGTGTGAGGTTGGAGCTGAGTGGCAGGATGTGGGAGGCTTGAGTGACGTGAGTGACGGGTGAGGGAGTGACGGGTGAGGGAGTGACGGGTGAGGGAATGATGGGTGAGGGAGTGACGGGTGAGGGAGTGACGGGTGAGGGAGTGATGGGTGAGGGAGTGACGGGTGAGGGAGTGACGGGTGAGGGACGTTTTCTGTTAAAGTTTCGGTCAGTTCACTGGAGAAATTAGCGTCATCACAGGTAAATATTTAGTGAGTGGGGAGGGAGGTGGGGAGGGAGGTGGGGAGGAAGGTGGGGAGGTGGGGAGAAAGGTGAGGAGGGAGGTGTGGAGGAAGGTGTGGAGGTGGGGAGAAAAGTGTGGAGGAAGGTGTGTAGATATGTCAACAACAATAGTGGTTGACGCTCCCACCACCACAACCTCCACCACAACCTCCACAACCACAACCACCATTACCCTCATTGACCTTGACCTTTTAGAAACAGGCCGGGGTAACATTCGCAACATACTGACTAACAATAAATCCCCAGGTAAACTCTATAATTGGGTTACCTGGAGCGATTTTACAGGTAGAGGACATGACTGGTGTTAGGGGCGGCCAGGTGAACCAACAGACAGACAGGTGTGACATAATGATACCCCCACCAAAGCTCCCCAACGGGTGGCATAAGAACATCAATATATAATCAATAGTAACAAATAAACAATGACGTCACTAAACAAACAATGACGTCACTATACAAACAATGACGTCACTAAACAAACAATGACATCACTACATAAACAACAATATAGTACCCAAAAGTAAACAACGATATCACTCGGTAAACAATGACATCACAAAGTTCAAACTGACGAAGTACAAAGTGACGTCAGCGAGCATGACTTTAACATTCGTATAAATTGCTAACGGGACTCAGTGGTGGGGGCATGACTAAGTATGTGTGTGTTCCTTGAAGGCGAGTGAAGGAGGTAGTGTGTTACCTGCCTGTGTATGAGGGAGGCTACTACACGTTTGAGTTAGTGTGAGGAACGCTATATGGATGAGTGTGTGTGTGTGTGTGTGTGTGTGTGTGCGTGTGTGTGTGTGTGTCCTAAACCAATGAGTGAATAACAAACCTATCCAAATTAAACCACTATTATAAAAGTCTACTATCTGACACACACACCATGGGAGGTTTACGATTACCCCTTGATTGACCTCTCCACCCCCCCCCCCTTCATTTAGACACACAGCCTTACCAATGTTTACTTTCAATACAATTCAGGGACTGTAGAGGATGTGGTGGTGTATTTATATCTGAAATTCAACTTTTTCACGACAAACTGCGGAGACAAATATTATGTCATTCTAACTCTTGACGGTAATTAGGAAACACGACAGGAGGGAAACAGGTAATTAGGACTCTCTTCTCTCTCTCTCTCTCTCTCTCTCTACAAGGACCTTCTTGGTGTAATGATGATGCTGATGCTATGGTCTTATCATATCTACGTGTAGTTGTAGACACAGCGACGCAGTACTGCCACAGGGGAAGTGGTCACCAGGTAAGACTCGCTGGCAACAGGTAATATTGTGTGTGTTGTGACTACAGAGAAAAAGTAAGTTTAATTGCGGGGAACTACTTGTCACGTGAGCCGAGGTCTGCTTCCACTTACCGTCTTTCTCACCTACAGGCTGGATTCTCTAATATTCTTAAGTTGTAATTTTCATCCAACTGCAGAAGTGAGAACGCCTTTGTGTGGCTTACTTCCTCAATGAAACAGATTTACCTGTTAAAATAACGCTGATATTGCACCGAGATTGTCGACACCATGACCATGTTCTCTTATCCCCAGTCATGAGAAAAAAAACAGTGTAGGAATCTTGGCCCCAGGGAGGTGAGACAAAGAAGTCTATGTATACCTCAACTGTCCTCAACACTACTCCACCACCGCGCTGAACTACACAACAAGAGGAGACTTTTTTAACATATTAAGCTAAAACGTGTAGAGTGAGGAGAGTAATTACCAGCATGAACCTGTGTTGCACCAGCATGTTGAGTCACCCTGTAGCCTTGCTCGCCCAACTACATCGTATTTTTACCTTGATGAAGTCATAAAAGCGTATTGTGTAAACCGGATGCATGAAGTATGACTGTATTACGCAAATTATGACTTTACAGCGTACGTAAGAAATAAACAGAAAGAATGATGTAAACCGGAGAGGAGTAATGAGTCATATTTAGTATTATTATTCTCTAGCGGATATAGTACCTTAACGTCAATCCTTCCATTATGTTGTAGACTATAGCAGAGCCGCTATACCTGACACAACATTGAGCAGCTTCAGGGCAATATTGCAGCGAGACATCATTAGAGAAGTCAATTTCAACTTCGGATGATCTGACAGTACCTGCTCCATTTTCCACACTATACTAACACAAACTACCAACACAAACTACTAATACAAACCAGTGTTCCTATTTCCAAACTGTATTACAATTAAAAACAAATCAAGAGTATTTTTTCTCCAATTAGACGTAATATAAAGACCCAACAGTGACCAGCTCCTCAAAGCACTGGATGGGAAACCCCGTGAAAAATATTCTTGTTCACATCTCCATAACAAAGACAACAGAGGAGACACAGAGCAGAGAGAGGCATCACGTCATGTGTGAGTGAGGAACAGCCACTACCACAACACGAGGGTCGAGCAGGGAGATGTAAACTACCAACCAAAAACATAACAACCACAACGAATTAAAAGTAAACAAATAAATAAATAATCAACAAGAGACAAACAAGAGTTACTACTACAAACAAAGAGATAGTGAAGAAACACCCAATAAAAGAGTCTTATATCAATACCTTGTCCTTCTCGGGTATACCTGTAGTATTATTCAGTATGTAAATGGCGACCAGGTACACACCCATGGCCGGAGAGAGAACTATGTATACCCTCCCGTTCCTTTCCTTCCCTTCCCTCCCCTTCCTTCCCTTCAAACTTTCTGTATATACGAGTAAATAATCAGACAGACATATGACAGACATCAATGGAGAGTAAACATCAAATTCCACCCAATAATAACTCCGAAAAAAAAAAAGGTTACTATTTGAAGAAGAGATGCGTGTTGCCGAGTGACAGCCAATCAGGAGAGCCATTAGAGACACGAGAGGGGTATTTAAGTAAGGTGTAAAATAATTCAGTTCCAGTTATGTGAGACAAGGGTGACGACACACACACTTAAGAGACATAGGTTCTTCCGCTAATTAGTTACGAGAGGATGAACCTAATCGCCCTTTATATTTTAAGTTTAAAAGAAAGAGATAATAGCTAAGATGGCGTCAAATTTACACCTTGACTCTACACCATAACTTGACGCATTCTTTTAATATAATCCCAAAATTACAGTCGAGGTTAATATACGGTGGTTCAAGGTAATTAAGGCAATGTTATGGAACTTGTTAACGCCTGGGAGTTAAGAGATGATCTGCCAAGGTTTCATTAACAAAATATAATTATAAATCAAACTATAAAACCTGTTATCGCTTTGGTTGGTTCTCTATAAAATAAATACAAATTACCTTATCATTATTATCGTTATTAATTATCTCTATTTTAATTCCTTCTTGACAAAAATTATACAATAAATTCTTTACAATTAACAACTGGCTCCTTCATTTGGGTTAATGGCCGGTGTGTCGTTAGTCTTGACAAGGTAGTACTGTACTGTATCATGTCCCCCAGTAGCGGTCCTCACGGCTCTCACACTACACTACACTACACTACACTCACGGCTCACACACTACACTACACTACATTCACGGCTCTCACACTACACTACACTCCACTCACGGCTCACACACTACACTACACTACATTCACGGCTCTCACACTACACTACCTCCTCGGCTCACACTACACTTCTACACTCCTCTGGCTCTCACTACACTACACTACCTCAGCTCCCTACATTCTGGCTCTCTCTTTTCACTACCTCCACTCTGGCTCACTACACTTCTACCTCCCACTCCACGGCTCTCACTACACTCTGTCTACTACACTACACTACACTACACTACACTCACAGCTCTCACCTCCTCGCTCCTCACACTACACTCAGCTCTCGCTCTCACACTACTACACTCCTGGCTCTCACTACACTACACTACACTCTGGCTCTCACACTACACTCACAGCTCTCACACTACACTACACTACACTACACTCACGGCTCTCACACTACACTACACTACACTACACTCACGGCTCTCACACTACACTACACTACACTCACGGCTCTCACACTACACTACACTACACTACACACGTCTAGTTATGTTTGTTTTATCGTGTATGTTGCATCCTCCTTGTTGTTATACAGTGTGTGTGTGTGTGTGTGTGAGTAATAAAAGTCTCGATTTTTTTTTCAGCTGTACGAAGCCGATTCAGCCGATTTTCTCTCCTGCCTGGTGACGTAAAATGAGACTCGGAATCCTCATTGGGACTACGAAACAAAGAGGTAATCCATCTATTAACAGCACCTTAATTCTCGTAACCCCAAGACGTATAGGAGTTAAAAGCAGTAATGATAAGAACAGGCCATCAATATTCTATACGATGGCCAAAACAAACACATTCTGCTTATCAAGTTTCTACCGCATAAAACAACAATCACAGGTGACTAGTATGTCGGCCTAATGTAAGAACTATGCAAAATTATTCGGGAGAAACGACGGGGCATGTTGACTACTGAGGAAGAGGTGATGATACTCCACTACGTGTCCAAGTATCACTCTGATCTCTCATTCACGACGCTGGTGTTCCGCTCAACTCAACCACCCTCCTTACAGCTCAGGTCTGGCCTCGAGGTACACTTATCAGTTTTAAAACCTCCTAAGATTGCGCATTTAAGATGACGTATAGCTGGAGGAGACTATACCGAGGCGTGGTGTTGGAAGACTTGTGGTGGAGTGAGTTATGAGGGACAACTAGGTTAGGTTATTAAGGTTATGTGGGACTAAACCAAAAAATACAATCGAACTGTTGTTCTTTCTTTACATAATTTGATACCACTTCTCGTACACCGGAACACGTCCAGAAATTATTGCACCTGAAGTAAGTCAATCCAGTAATAACTCAGCACCTAAACGTTACCATAGAGGATGATGATGGCCCAAGGCGCCCTTACTGTATACACCACACCGGTAAAGTGGCGGCCAAAAATCCTTCGTCACTTGGCCAAATCCGGTAGTTGCTTGTGAATCATATATATATATATATATATATATATATATGGGTTTAGTTTATAGATGGTAAAAATATTCTTTTCATTATTAACATTATAACGTAAAAACTCTGAAACAAAGGAAAATCGGAGTAATATGTTAAAATTTCAATCCTCTTCACTTACATGACCCCAAAAGTTCCTCAACCTCACTTATATGACCCTTAAGTATATACCAGACACAGTCTAAAGTGTCCAGGAAATTTTATCCTCAACTGTGCCTTCCTTGTATTAATAACAAATATAATTACGACTTTCTTTGCATATTAAAAACCTTGTATTATGAGATGGCTTTAGAGGCCCCGCACTTATTAACGCAGACGCCTCTTAATATGCAGGGCGGGTCGTGTTTCTGGCAGGAAGGTCGTGGATGGAGCGGGGAAGGTCGTGGCTAGGACGGGTAAGGTCGTGGCTGGAACGGGAAAGGTCGTGGCTGGAACGGGAAAGGTCGTGGCTGGAACGGGAAAGGTCGTTGCTGGAACGGGAAAGGTCGTAGTCGCGGAGTGAACCAAGGACCACAGGGTTGACCATCCAGTGTAAGGTGCGCCCCAGCCACTACTGTGAAGCGACATGACGGCCTCCGGTGGGGGGGTGGAGGTGTCTCATTTCGGATACTGGAAGAACTGTCCGACTACCTCCCCAGAATGAGGATGGACGGATGTGTTTACTCATGGCGGACTTATGTGTATTTTACCGCCGCCACCTGAGTCGTATTTTCAATTGCTAACTTAGGTGTATTATAACTATTGTACGACCTGATTACTGATAAAAAATAACTGGAGAATCTTCTTAAGAACGCCAGCCCTGGATACAGTTTTTGTGAGTGTTTGCTGTTGACTCGAGTAACAACCTCCACCACTGAGAGTTTACACAGCAGCCAACTAACATCACTAACAGCTGGTAAACTCGATAGATCAGGTGTGTACAGAAGGTTACAACACCATCATTTGTTTATACCAGTTATAACAACAACGCATCATTCTAAGTCAATGTTTACGTATCTTGGAGAATACGAGGTTTATACAAGTAATTCATCAGTGGAAATCTGTTATCGTTTATGTCAAAATTTGGGGCGCAGGATGTCGTATATAACATGGCGATAAAAAACAGGTAATAATAATAATAGTTCAGACGATCGTCAGGTATTTCAGCCGGTCACAAAAGGCCACCAGTAAAATGGTAAACGTGTCCGGGATGAAGGAAAAATGTGACCCCTCACCCCCCCCTCACTGCCCACTTCCCTGAACTCCGCTGTGGAGAAAAAGCGGTAAAAATCATCTCTCATTAAGACTGTGGTCATGCAGCTATTCCACACCACACCTGACCCACGTGTACACAAACCCACCTGTCTGGGTGTGGATGGAGGACGAGATGGAGTAGCTCCTCCGTGACGCAGGAATAATAGAAGTACATATCCTGGTGGAGATGGTGACGTTGGTACTCAGGGAGGTGGTGTTGGAGGTCACCTTGGTAGAAGCAGCGTTGGAAGTGGACGTGACAGCAATGGTGGAGATGGTGGAGGGCGTGAGGGAGGTGATGACCCTGCCAGTCCCTCCACCAGTTGCCACCCGCCCTCCACCCCGGCAAACCCCAGCCCCTGGTCTCGTCGAGATACTGGCAGGTGTCCTCGTGGTCCCACTCTGTCTCGAGGAGCTGCAAGGAATGTGAGACGGCTCGGTTTTCCCGGCGGTAGTGTTGGCTGTGTCATGTCCACTTAGCCTTGAGGACGTCCCGGCTCTCCCAACTGGATCTGTACGAAGGCGCCTCTGTGGCTCCGCCTGTCTGGTGATGTCCGCGGGGCTTCCTCCTTCACTAGGAACCTTACTGCTGCCACTGACGCTCCCAGGCGTCAATGACTTTCGCTTCACGGAGGAACTGTTAACTTTCCTCACCGGGACGGCTGATCTGGCGGGACCCTTGTTCGAGGTAATGTTAGAGACACTTGTGGCGGCGGCGTCTGTGTTGGTCCTTCTCCTCACCAGAGCTTTACCTGAAGCAGACAGCGGCTGCGTCACGGATGGGGGCGTTGTCTTTTTCTCTGATTCTCTGCTGAGTCTACTAGTAGGTGTCGTGGCTTTACTGGCCGCTGTAGTGTTGTTGTGAGCATTAAGGAGCCTCGTGTCACCACTCATCAGCGAGTGCCTGTTACCTCCAGCAGTTGGGATGCGCCTGATCGCCTCTCCAATTCCCACAGGTCTCCCCGGCTGTGTCGCTGTTCCGGAGGTCCTGGCGGTGACTGCAGACTTGGGCACCGTGCTGACCCCCACCCCGCCCCCACTAGAGGGGCTGGAGGTCAACCTGGACCTCCGAGGCCTGGAGGAAGGGGAGGATGTGGAAGACGGGGAGGAGGGGGTGGAGTTGACTCTGGTGCTGGTGATGACATTGTTGTTGTCCGTCTTCCTCTCCACGCCCATCATGTAACTATCTTACGTCAACAAGTTATATCACAGAAATAACGTAGCTGCCCTCACTACGTGTACACGCTGGTCTTCAGGTCAGTCTCGTTAACTCCAGCATCACCTGATGGCTCTAATTACTGTACAGTTCCTGTAAGTTAAACATGTCTAGTTGTTCAAGACTCTCACAACAACAGTGTCACGTCCTCAATGATCAAACACTTAAGAGTTCGATTATATTCTTGCCATCAGCACACACACATACACACACACGCGCGCACACACACACACACACACACACACACACGCACGCAGCACGCACGCACGCACGCACGCACGCACACACACACACTCACGCACGCACACAGTACCTCCGAGACCCGACATTCTCTAACGTGACATAACTATCCCCTCCCAGACAAACATCCTCCGCCTGGTACACTTTACCCCCACACACACTATCCCATTATCTCCCTCCTGATATACTAGCCTCCTCGTACCCCCTGACACTCCCCAATACATCTCTCCTCCTAACACACACTTTCCCCCCTGCACCACCACCTCCTCCCCACACACTCTCCTCCTCCAGCGTGGGTGTGTCAACTAGGAGGACAAGCCCCGTGTGGCTCATCACCTGCCAAATGGGTCATGAGGATGTGGCACCCCTCCCTCCCTCCCTCTCTCCCCCAAGGCCGGGATCTGTCCTCCCTCACCCTACATCCTGTTTCACCCAGCTTCATCCTACACTACACCCCGCCCCTATTGGCTTACCCAGCTTCATCCTACACTATACCCTGCCCCTATTGGCTCACACTGCTTCATCCTACACTACACCCTGTCCCTATTGGCTCACACTGCTTCATCCTACACTACACCCTGTCCCTATTGGCTCACACTGCTTCATCCTACACTACACCCTGCCCCTATTGGCTCACACTGCTTCATCCTACACTACACCCTGTCCCTATTGGCTCACACTGCTCACTCCCACACTACACCCTGCCCCTATTGGCTCACACTGCTTCATCCTACACTACACCCTGTCCCTATTGGCTCACACTGCTTCATCCTACACTACACCCTGTCCCTATTGGCTCACACTGCTTCATCCTACACTATACCCTGTCCCTATTGGCTCACACTGCTTCATCCTACACTACACCCTGTCCCTATTGGCTCACACACTGCTCTCATCCTACACTACACCCTGTCCCTATTGGCTCACACTGCTTCTCATCCTACACTACACCCTGTCCCTATTGGCTCACCAAGCTTCATCTCACACTAAGTACCCCGTCCTGGCTCTGAAGCACTGCTTCATCCTACACTACACCCCGCCCCTATTGGCTCACACTGCTTCATCCTACACTACACCCTGTCCCTATTGGCTCACACTGCTTCATCCTACACTACACCCTGTCCCTATTGGCTCACACTGCTTCATCTTACACAACACCCCGCCCCTATTGGCTCACACTGCTTCATCTTACACTACACCCCGCCCCTATTGGCTCACACTGCTTCATCTTACACTACACCCCGCCCCTATTGGCTCACACTGCTTCATCCCACACTACACCCCTGTCTCTCATTGGCTCACACTGTTTCATCCTACACTCACACCCTGTCCCTATTGGCTCACACTGCTCATCCCACACCATACCCTGTCCATTGGCTCACACTGCTCATCCTACACTACACCTCTTATTGGCTCACACTGCTCATCTCTGACACCCCGTCCCTCATTGGCTCTGTCTGTTATTGGCCACACTGCCCTACACCCCATTGGTCACATTGGCCCACTGCTTCATCTCACACCCTGGCTCACACTGCTCACTGCCCTCACACCAGCCGTACAGCCTGTGTCACCCTTCATTACGTCACCACTATTGGGTGTTATTAGACTATCATAATGTCTCTGTTTACTGACTGCATTTATCAAGTGTAATGAGGCTATAGTGTGGCGCAATGAGGAATGAGGTGTGGGGGCAGTGAGGTGTGAGGGGGCGGTGATGAGGTGTGAGGGGGCGGTGATGAGGTGTGAGGGGGCGGTGATGAGGTGTGAGGGGGTGATGAGGTGAGGGGGATGAGGTGAGGTGGTGAGGTGGGGGGGGGGGGTGGTGGTGGGGGGGTGTGGTGAGGGGCATGAGGGAGGGTGGGTGATGAGGTGATGAGGGGGGCAGTGATGAGGTGTGAGGGGGCGGTGATGAGGTGTGAGGGGTGAGGTGATGAGGTGTGAGGGGGCGGTGATGAGGTGTGAGGGGCGGTGATGGAGGTGTGAGGGGCGGTGATGTGGTGTGAGGGGCGGTGATGGGTGTGAGGGGCGGTGATGAGGTGTGAGTGGTGTCGCCATGAGGTGTCGAGGTGTGTGTTAGTGAGGTGGGCGGGTGGACGGGGGTAGGAGCGGGCGGGGTGTAGTAAGAACCTCACAAGTGTTGGATGAGGAGGACGTGTTGGTGCAGTAAATACCGTAAGTGTACGGGCGGGCGGGCGGGGCGGGGCATGGCTTGGGAAGTGTAGAACGTTTGTGATTTTAAAAGAATTGAATTAACTCTGAGATGACCTCCCCCCCACCTATACAAAGTTAGATAGAAAAGGGAGATAGAGGGAAGGGGAAGGGAGAGGAGAGGAAGGAAGAGGGAAGGAAGAGGAGGGAAAGGGTTGAGGAAGGGAGAGGAAGGGGTTCATCAACTGTGTATAAATACTCCCATGTGTAAAGAGTGGTAACCTCCTGAGTGAACCTTAACACTGAGGAAACCATTTGTAGACAGACAGGTGGAGGGACAGACAGACAGGTGGAGGGACAGACAGACAGACAGACAGGTGGAGGGACAGACAGACAGGTGGTGGGATAGTAACAGGGCAGGGAGGAGGGAATAACACAGGAGAAATAATAACAGAGAAAGTGTGTGTGTGTGTGTGTGTGTGTGTGTGTGTGTGTGTGTGTGTTTAAACAATTAACTAAAGCTTGGACGTCGAGATGAGTTGAGCGTTGATATAACTGTACGGAAATGCCTGTGAAAGAGCGTGAGGGGTGTGGGTGGAGGTGTGGTGGGGGTGTGGGTGGGGTGGGGTGTACTAGAGGGGTGGAGGTGTGGGGTGGGGGGTGGGTGGGGGTGGGGGTGTTGGGGGTGGAGGTGGCCGAGGAGGTAGAGTGTACTGGAGAGGGTGGAGGTGTGGAGGGGTGGGGTGTGGTGGAGGTGTACGTGGTGGAGGTGTGTAGAGGTGTACTGGAGGGGGTGGAAAGGTGGAGGGTGGGTGGGGGTGGGGGTAGAGGTGGAGGTGGAGGTGGGGTGGAGGTACTGGAGGGGTGGAGGTGTACTGGAGGTGTGGGTGGGGGTGGAGGTGTACGGAGGGGGGGAGGTGTGGAGGGGTGGAGGGGTGGGGTGGAGGGTGGGTGAGGGTGGAGGTTGAGGGGTGGAGGTGTGGTGGGTGGAGGGGGTGGGTGTGGAGGTGTGAGGTGGAGGGGGAGGGGTGGAGGTGTGGAGGGGGTGGAGGTGGAGGTGTGGATGGGAGGGGTGGAGGTGGGGAGGGGGTGGAGGTGGGGAGGGGTGGAGGTGTGCGGGAGGGGGTGGGAGGTGTACGGGAGGGGTGGAGGTGTACGGGAGGGGTGGAGGTGGAGGGGGTGGAGGTGTAGGGAGGGGTGGAGGTGTGGAGGGGGAGGGAGGGGGGGAGGTGGAGGGGGGAGGCGGGAGGGGGTGGAGGTGTACGGGAGGGGGTGGAGGTGTGGAGGGAGGGGTGGAGGTGTACAGGAGGGGGTGGAGGTGTACGGGAGGGGTGGAGGTGTGGAGGGGTGGAGGTGTACTGGAGGGGGTGGAGGTGAGGCCTGACAGCGGAAGGAGAGGCACACTCACAAGTTATTTATGTAGATCCTCCTCAGTACAGGAAGTGTTGTCTCTCATACAGGAGCCAGCGACCCTCCCTCCCTCCCTCCGTCTACATTCCACCTGTGGCTTCTTTCCTTTCTTCCCTTCAATTGGTGTTTCCTCCCTCTGCCTTCCACCTGGTTGAGCCCTCTATCTATTCCTTCACCGGTGCCTCCATCCCTCCACTGGTGTCTCCTTCCCTCTACGCAGCGGTTCCCTCCCTCCCTCCCACTACAGGCCAGATAGTCAGCATCTCAGTGAGCCAGTGTGTGGTCCAGCAGGAGGCGGTGACCTCACCCCCAGGACCACCGCAGCACATGACTTTCTCTCTCTCTCTCTCACCGTGAAATCATTTCTCCTCCCCTCCACTCCCATACCTTTTCATTTACCTCCCCCCACAATGATTCAATCCCCCCATAAGCCAATGTATATCCCCCACCACCTCCTCTGCCCCCTCCACCACCACTTCTTCCTCCTCCTCCTCCCACCACCACCCTTGGAATGCAGCAGCAACTACACGTTACGTTCCGTGCAGGTCTGACCTGTGACTGTACCGCCTGAAATACTGTACTGCCTCAAGTTCATCGTTGTAACAAACACCAGGTCAGCGTGTCTTGTTTTTATGTTAGTCCACGTGTGTCAGTCTTACATAAAGATTACATCGCTATCCCTGTTATCTGTACACACTATAAAGCACCGCTCATCACCCACATAATGGTAACTCATCCCATCATTCAGTTAGTGTGAAAAGGTAAAAAAAAGTCCTCTACCTGCCTGTCCTCTCTCTGCTACAGGCCACAGCAGGATTATGTGACCAGTTACTCACACCTCCCCCCCCCCACCTCCTCAGTCCCTCCCTCATAAATCGGTAGAGTTTTTCTTGCCGCCTCTGATGGTGATCCCCGGCAGCCAGCCCCCAGTGACCGCCGCCTCACAACCCAGCCTCTCGTCTTTAACTCTCCTCCTCCTCCTCCCCTCACTGTCCCATATACTGCCCTCACTTCCTCCTCCTCCCCTCACTGTCCCATATACTGCCCTCACTTCCTCCTCCTCCCCTCACTGTCCCATATACTGCCCTCACTTCCTCCTCCTCCCCTCAGTCACACACACACACAGGTGCTCACGTTATTACCCCAGCATGAGACTTGTTAATTTAATTTTCCCTCATGATTTTATCTCTAACGAAACGTTATTTTTTTCACATATTAATTACTGACAGATGGTATCTCTGTCCTGTAAGTCAATATGTTTATTCCTAACACCCGCCCGTCTTCGTCTCTCGATAATTTAAGTTGTAATAATTTTCCATCTGTGTCCCGCCATGTTTATTTACCTAATAATATTCTGTAACATGGCGAGTCTCTCAAGGAATGTGTTCAAAGGGTAAAGTTTGTTTCTCTCTCTCTCTCTCTCTCTCTCTCTCTCTCTCTCTCTCTCTCTCTCTCTCTCTCTCTCTCTCTCTCTCTCTCTCTCTCATTCCATCCTTATTGTTTAGATATTTCCTATCAATACTTCCAATCAGATTGTCTTCCTTCCCCGCTGCAGGTAATATAAGGAGCAGCAACAGGTATCTATCTCACTGCTACAACTCTTGCTGCTGCCTCACACACACAGTGCAAGAGCCGGTGCCACCGCCACCCTCCCACTCCGGTCATTGAGGACGCGACAATTCTCATTATCCTTCACAAACTACCTAACTCGCTCCGCCTGGATGTGAGAATATGCAGATTTTGCTGCACATCTCGGGAACTTGGCTAAGATCAGGGACTGTGTGTTAAGCGTAGGAACAAAGATGGTGTGGTCTCGTGCGCTAGTTGGGTGGCCGGTCTCCTGTACTGGCGAACTTTGGACAGCTTTTCACGTGTCGTTGACTCTTCTCACTCATAAACAAACCACTTGGCCAGCTCTCATAACCGGCCGTATGGGTTTTCCTTCATCTTTCCACTTATCAATATACTGTGTGTTTCTTTTCTATGACAATGATTAAATCTAGGTATTCACTAAAGACTTGCAACAGTGTTTTCATCTCGCACTTACACACTGCTTGTTACCCTCAATATCAACACGCTGGTTTGTTTTGGAAACTGCGTGACGGACGGCAGCGCCAGACCACACCAACTTCTTGCTCCACCTGTCACACTGACACACACACGCAACACAAACTAACACCAGACAACACATTTTCTCTTAATTACAGTAAGTTTCTACCGTGTTATCATTTTAACTCGTGGACTTCTTGTAGGCCACTTGAACACAAAGATGAACACAACGTCATTTTCCTGTTCAAACAAAACTTCTCTTGGGACTCACGACCAATTACAGAGGTCAGTGTCCAGGTGTAGCAACTAACACAACACTTGGGTAGCGGTGCCCTGTGTTATACTCCCGGGTGTGTTCTGGGCTGTACCCTCAGAAGGGGGCGTGTGTGTGTATGGTGAAGGCGAGACGGAGCATGTGACGAAGGCTGTCCTCCTCGCCACCACACGCGACATACTCACACAGCCTCACCGCTGCGGCCACCCCGTGCCTAGTGCGAGTTAACACTGGCCCAGCAACACCCAAACACCAGTGTTATCGCGCCGCACACTGCTGCTGGTAGAGGAAAGCACCTGCCGCGCCGCCTGCACCCCACCACCACCGGCACGTTCAACAGGTCCACCACTGCTGCTACCGCCGTCACTACCCGCCACCACACACACACACACATGCACAACATACACACGCACGCACACCCCAGCCACGCAACTCATTGCCCGGGCCTCCTCAACTGGAAAATATTCCTTCCCACCAGCCTGTGTGTTGCAGCACCGGGAACACCACAGCATCAGCAGGTACAGTTACAACGCACATACCTCACCGGCCAGGCGCCTCCCTCCCACCCAACACGAGGGGCGCCCAGTCTAAAGTATTAAGACGACTGTTAAAACCTGTATTACACTACACTACGGCTGAGAAGGTAAACATTATATCTCATGAAGGACAAAAGCCTGTTTAAACCTGGTTGGGAGAGAGGGAGTAACGTTCAGCCCCAACACAACGCCTCCAGGGAAACTTCTCCAGATACACTGTCCGACGCCTTAACTTTCTTGACCAAAACGAACATCACAACACTCAGGTTAGCTTCATTATATCGAGTCATGTTTATATATTATTTAATCTATTGAAATCACCGCACCCGTAAGGTAAGGCAAGAGTCAATCTGTTGGTTAATTCCTCAGGTACAATAAGCTAGAGGGCTAATCCTCAGGTGATCCATAAAATGTACACCTATAATTGTAAAGTTGGTCCACACACACACACACACACACACACACACACACAAACACACACACACACATACACACACACAACACACACACAGTCAACCAGCCCACAACCTAAATCAGTTCTAAATCATACCGATCCTTCGTTGTACATGACATGCCCACAGTCTTCAAATCCAAAACTGGGCCACCAACAACCATGTCACCATCAACCATACCAAGACCATGGTTATGCACATCAACCTCTCCTCCGACATTGTCCCACCTCCTTCCATTAGGTCCGAACACACCCAGGTTGTAGATTCCACGAAGCTCCTCGGCGTCACCAGACAACAAACTAAATTGGAAACCACACATCAGTGAAGTTATCAAATCCTCCAGTTTCCGTCTCCACCTCCTCCGCCGACTCAAGTCCCTCGGAGTTCCTGCACTGAGCCTCAGTGTTTACACAACATTCATACTTCCTAAGCTCACCTATGCCTCCCCACCTGGTCTTCCTCCTAAATGCCACACAACGTAAACACCTAGAAAAAGTGCAAAGAGGGCATGCAAGATTATTCTCCCTTCCTACTCACATATCAAGAAGCGCTCAACACATTGACCCTTTCGACTCTCACTGACCATCACCACGACCTCATCTGCAAATTTGGTAAGAAGCTTCTACACCATCCTCGACACCGGCTCCTACTACCACCTGAGATCCCTTGTCCGAGAATTGTTGTTCGACACCACAACCGCATCCAGCCCATACGTGCACGAACTGATCGCTATAAGAACAGCCCAGTCCCAACCATTGTAAAAATTATCAATAACTTGTAATAAACCAGTGTATTCACTCCCAGTAAACACTGCTCCTTACACTGTCACTATGTTGAAATGAACTGTAGTTTGAGCTTTTCCACATCTAGTTATTATATGTCTTACTTGTGTCACTTATGTTACTTGTATATTATTTGTAATTCGTAACCCATTCCCCAAATATGTAACTGTATATTTTCAGCCTTCTGGCTGCCAAGCTCTTTCAATAAACCGTTAATTATTATTATTATTATTGTTATTATTATTATTAGCACGCAGGCGAGGAACACCCTGACGAAGACAACACGACTATGAGTCATATCCTTGGACCAGTGACAGATATAGTCGTGTTATCTAAGCCTTAATCAGATAACACTTATATCGATACTGGTACAGGGCTCTTATATGCTGTCACACACACACACACACACACACACACACACACACACACACACACACGATAGTTTAAGGTATATCTATAACATACATTCCAAGCTTAAGTTAAGGTTAGGTTAGGTTTTTACTGTATAGGAGAGAATAAATTTAAATATGGTTTGATTAGTTTAGATTAAGTCTGTATTTTTGTTCATAACTAGAGGGTGGGATGGGGGCAGTGATGCACTAGTTGAGTCCGTGATGAGTGGCAGCAGGTGAGATCTAGCTAGTGTAGGAGGCGGACAGGATACCACCCAGGCGCACGGTTGATAACAGAGCTAATGAATGACCCCGGGCACACCATCCTCAACCCTGCCCCCCTCACCTCATAATACTCTACTACTAGTTAACATCTCTGTGATATATTCTACTTCAGGTTTTAAACAAGATAAAGGTGTGTTATTTTACAAGTGGTAGTGAGGGCCATGAGGGAGTATTGACGCAGGGGCCATAGTGACTGAGGGAGCTGTTGATTTGGATTAACTGATTGACCTGACCTGACCTGACCTGACCTAACAAAGGATATAGTGCTTAACATCTCATGACAGACTGATAGTGTGTTTTGAGATGCAATATTTAATAACTGAACTGTTAGGGGTAGTTATATTAGCAGGGAGGCCAGACTTGGGTGAGACACACGCTAGTCCAGTCTCGCTCGTTAGCGGAATTAACCAGACACATCCTGTCCACCTTCTAAGAAAGTGCACAGCTTTACAAAGGGAACAATTAAAGCTTAATGAAAGAAAATGGAGGTAGGGAGGCGGCGCATCAGCCCGCATAACAGTGACCTACTTCCTATGTTGTCTGTGCCTCCCCTCCCCCCCCTACCTATACTCATCACCACCACCACCACCGTCTGCCTCCCCCATACCGACACCCACGCACTCTCTGTCATGAACGATCCAGGTGAGTGTGTCGGTGGTGTTGGTGGGTGCGTGGTGCGCTGACACATGCTGCTCAACGCTTCAATAAGAGTTCACCTTTAGGCTGCGACGTGGCCACTGCACTACAGGTGGCTTGTTACCCTCACACCTGCCACTCTTAGTGCCTCCTTACCTGACACCACACAGGTACTCCATGGCCTGTAAGTCACTCATCCAGGTGTGTTAATTGACCTTCCTTTAAAATGGTTTGTTGTATTAGATATATTACACCAGGTAAATTATTGAAATAAATACCATCGTTGTATCACCATGAAAACCATCAGTGACGTAATTGGTAGTTCACGCACACGAACATGTCTGACAGAGCTTCATCCTCAACCCTACACGAGGCACCCATGGCTGTAGTCTCCCCTGCAGCAGTAGTAGCTTCTTACGGTACGGGCTGAGTGCAATTTCGAGGCCATTTTGTCCGTCATGTTAGTGGTGTAGTGTAGCCCCTGTGTGGCCGACCGTTAGAATGTTCTCACGATTTCTAGTTAGTCGGAAAATTGTACCGCCTGAGCCTCATGGTAGCCACTGTCTGGGTGATGTAGGGCGTCCGTCCGTCCGTCCGTCCGCCCATCCTACACACAGAGACACACCACACCCTTGGCACGACTTGTAAAGGGTGGCAGGTCAAACTCTCCTTAAGTGAGTATGTGAGCAGCATCAAACTGGCTCACTTAAAGCCATTACACAGACGATGGCGAGAGCTTTAACGGTGACCAAGCTGCCCCTCCAGCAGATACCTGTGAGGGGAGAGGAAAACATCACCCGTCTCTCAGGTGCTGGGGGTGTGGGCCAGGGTTCTTCACGGTTCGTTACGCTGAATATTTATCGTAATATAAGAACGTACGTATATACCTGAGCGGCTGACTTAAAACGAAAAGAATAAACACAACATCCAATATGGCATACAAATTACACCAAGACTCTTTGCTTTAACGAGAGACGTTTACTTTAACACCAATTAAGAGGTGAAATTAACACAGGGAGACTTTGTGGTTTGTGAGATACAGTACACCAGTTATCTCGACACTGTTGCCAGCTGCGTGTGTGTCTGGCCCCAGATTAAGGCCAGGTCATCCTGTTTATCAATGAGTGTTGATAAGTCATCACCACAACAACTCTCTTCAACTACATTCCACCTGAACTACGTCTTCACTACACTCGCTATACCTGCCTTAACCCCCCTACACTCACTGGCTATACCCTAGATTAAGGAAACGCGACCTCCCTCCTTCCCTTCCTCGTCCTTAGAGCTACACAAGTATTTTACATTTAGTTTGGTTTGGCTGTGTGTAATGAACAAGGGAGGCAAGGGGAGGAAGCAAGGGGAGGGCAAATGGGGAGGGGGAACAAGGGGGGAGGCAAGGGGAGGGAGGTGGGGATGGTAATGGTCAGTTTCCGTGATTGGTGTGGGTAGTGGTGTGGGTTGGTGTGTGGTGGAGTAGCGGAACCCTCACCTCACCTCCAGAACACATTATCTCCACCATTTTACCTTCATCTCCCCTCACTTATGCTCTACTTCTGTCTGGCCAACACTATCAACCACTTCAACTGCCACCTTCTCCCCCACCAGAACACCACCTTCCTCACCACAACACCACCTTCCCTCCCCACAACACCTTCTCCCCTCACCACAACACCACCTTCCCTCACCACAACACCACCTTCCTCCCCACCTTCCCTCACCACAACACCATCTTCTCCTCCACCCACAACAACCTTCTCCCCCCACCAGAACACCACCTCCCTCACCCACAACACCACCTTCCCTCACCACAACACCATCTTCTCCTCCACCACAACACCACCTTCCCTCCACACAACACCACCTTTCCCCCACCACAACACCATCTTCTCCTCCGACAACACCACTTTCCCCTCACCACAACACCACCTTCCCTCACCCACCTACCTTCTCCCCACCACAACACCATCCCCTCACCACAACACCACCTTCTCACCACAACACCATCTTCTCCCTCCCCCCAACACCACCTTCTCCCTCACCACAACACCACCCTCCCTCACCACCTTACACCCCTCACCACAACACACAGCCCTCCACCACAACACCACCTTCCTCCACCACAACACCACCTTCCCTCCACCACAACACCACCTTCTCCCTCCACCACACACCACCTTCTCTCCTCACCACAACCACCTTCTCCCTCACCACAACACCATCTTCTCCCCTCACCCAACACCCTTCCCTCCTCTACACCACCTTC